TCTCAATCACAAAGCTCCTGGAAGGGATCAAGGAATGCAGTAACATCCCAGGATACAAATTCAGTGTCCACAAATGAGTAGCCATTATATGTGCCAATAACAGTCAGGCTGAGAAATCAAAGACAAAATATAGCTTCAAAGAAAATGAAATACCAGGGAATATACCTAACAAAGGATGGGAAGGATCTCTGTAAAGACAACTACAAAACCCTGAGAAAAGAGATAGCAGAAGACATTAACAAATGTAGAACATACCATGCTCATGGCTGGGAAGAATCAACATTACTAAAATGGTGCTGGGCATGGTGGCTCATGCCTGTAATCTTAGCACTCTGGGAGGCCTAGGCGAGTGGATTACTTAAATTCAGGACTTGGAGACTAGCGTGAGCAAGAGTGACCTCATCTCTACTAAAAATAGAAAAACTAGCTGGGTGTAGTGGCATATGCCTATAGTCCCATTTGCTCAGGAGGCTGAGGCAAGAGGATTTCTCATGTCTAAGAGTTTGCGGTTTCTGTGAGCTGTGATGCCATGATACTCTGCCCACGGCAATAGAGTGAGAAAAAATTATTACAATGTCCATACTAGTCAAAGTGATCAGTAGATTCAATGTAATCCATATTAAGGCACCAACATCATTCTTTGAAGAACTTTAAAAAAATAGTACTTTGTTTTATGTAGAATCAGAAGAACCCATGAATAGCCAATGCAGTTTTAAGGAATAAAAACAAATCTGAGACATCACATTACCAGATTTCAGGTTATATGCTGTGATCAAAACAGCAGGGTACTGGCACAAAAATAGAGATACAGATCTAAGGAATAGAATAGAGAACTTAGAGATGTGTCCAGCCACATATTGCTATTTATCTTTGATAAACCAAACAAAAGCATACTGGGGAAAGGAATCCATATTTAATAAATGGTGCAGAGAGAACTGGTTAGCCACATGTAGAAGACTGAAACCGTACCTGCACCTTTACCACTTATAAAAATTGATGCAAGATGAATGCAAAAAAAATTGAAGTCTAAGACATGAAACAATAAAAAATTGTAGAAGAAAATGTGAGGAAAAACTCTTGATGCTATCAGCTGGTGAGAAGAATTTATGAAGAAGATCGCACTGGCAGTTGCAGCAATACCAAAAACAAATAAACAGGACATGATCAAGCTAAAAAGCTTTGGCAGAGCCAAGGGTACAACTAAAGCAAATAGACAACCTTCTGAATCGGAGAAGATATTTGCATGCTATGACTATGACAAAGGACTGATAACGAGAATCTAGAGAGAATTTAGTCAACAAGAAAAAAAGCAAACAATTCTATTTATAAGTGGGCAAAAGAATTGAACAGAAACTTCTCTGAAGACAGATGAATGGCCAAACATATGAAGACATGCTCATCATCCATTGTCATCAGAGAAATGCAAACCCAAACCACTCTGAGATACCACCTAACTGCAGTTAGGATAGCCCACATTGCAAAGTCCCAAAGCTACAGATCCTGGCATAGATATGGAGATGAGGGAACACTTTTAAACTCTTGGTGGAATTGCAAATTAATACAGTCTCTTTGGAAAGAAGTATAGAGAATTGTTAAAGAACTCAAAGTTGAACTTCCATTTGATCCTGCAATCCCATTAGCAGGTATCTACCCAGCAGAAAAAAAAATCGTTTTATCATATTTGTACTAGAATATTTATTGCAGCTCAGATCACAGTTGCCAAGATATGGAAGTAACCCAAGTGCCCGTTAAGCCATGAATGGATTAATAAACTTTGCTATATGTATACCATGGAGTACTACTCGGCCATAAAAAAGATGGGAGACTTTACGTCTTTTGCATTAACCTGGATGGAGTCAAAGAACATTCTTAGCAGAGTATCACAAGAGTGGAAAAGCAAGTGTCCAGTATACTGAATATGAAACCAGTAGTAAAAGAACTGCACACCCACAGGAGAGAAAAACACGAGTATATTCAAGGGGAGCAGAGGGAGGAGCAGGAGGGATGGGTAAGCTCTCACCTAATATGCACAGTGTTAAGGGTATACAACACACCGTCAGATGAACGGCTCACTTACAGCTTCAGTCTTACCTTAGAAATGCAAACTGTATATATAACATCATCATTTGTACTCTCATGTTTTTTTTTTTTTTTTTTTTTTTTTTTTTTT